CCGCAAGGTAGTTCCGCCATCGTCCACAACGTGCTGATAATAAACTTCAAGAACTTTGATACTTGAAATTTTGTCTGAAAAATGCGGAGTTAGGCGGTACGAACTTATACGGGACTTAAGCGAGAGTATACTGTTATCATAATTAGAATAATATGAAATCAAATGCATATGGTCAAATATATAAAATTACTCACCACTTTGTTAGAGAAAATTGCTGACATTTTCAGTTCTAAATAGCATGAATGGATAATTGAACTATAGAAAGCTTGAAAGTGTTTCCAAAAGTTTCCAATTTTTTATAGGAGTTGCCATTCTAAACTTATAAAGCAAGCTTTGATATGTATTTCACTTGATTTAACAATAGGTTTTTGTTTTTTAAAAATTTACGCTTCATTAAACCAGTGCAAAGATCCAACTTATACTATAATCTTCGTACACAAATAACATACTCCCCGCCTGATTTGTACAATTTTGAACTTGAACAGCAAACTCGAGACTGTAATTTCCAACTTCTTTAATCATACATCGGCTACGTAACCAAACGAAGACAATAATAGTCTTGAAGGAAATAAACTGTGATATTCTGAACCGATGGACTGAAAAAAGAACGGGTTTGGAGAAAATTGCTATTATCTAGTCCAAATAATGCAGCACAGCGAGAAATACATCGTATGAAAGAATTTTTCCACAAGCTGTGACTTTCAACTCCATGTTGATAGAGCCGTGCTGCAGCACAAAGCTTACGGAACGTAGCTCTTCATCTCCTCGATGGAGTTGAAAAATCGTACAGAGCTCTCCTTTTACTGACTTTTAAATCTACTTCAGGGAAAAAACCCCGAGTGGCTTAACCACATGACGAGCTTGAGAAAGCTTCCGTGGCAAAGAACCAACATGAGTTTAGAGACCAGTGCGGTGAACACTGCATTTTGGAACTTACTGGAGGTTTTTACTAAACCTGGGACGCGCCCCAGACGAACAAATTTCGGCCACCAGCCTGTCAGAGAGCTCGCAAGGCCATTCGATCTTGCACGATTTAGAGACACTCGATTTGAGAAGGAGCAATGTAACAGGCTCCGTATCCCCTGTATTTTACAAGAGCTTCCTCTGAGGTACGTCGACCCAGCGGGCGATCGCCTGCAAGTACAGCTTCCTGACTCCTTCGACCAGATTCCGAACCTGGTCCACCTCGACGTTTAGAACAACGACCAATCGGGGCAACTCCCCAAGCCTCTGCTAGCTCTAAATCTCACCAATCCCCACTGCTTCCGCTGGGTGCAGGTCTGTGCAGCTAGTCTCTGACGGACTGCTCAAGATGCATGAAGTGGGAGATATTACTCACAACCACTATCTGCGTGGTGATTAATGGGAGTAAGCTGTTTGTTTTTCGGCTGCGCATGGTGGCGGAGATTCAATTATAAGCGGCGGAAGCTGGACGAAATACATCTCATGGGCAAAGAGGCATTTAATTTGATGCCCTCTGGAAACCTCAAAAAAGCCACGGACGACTGATTTCTTGGACATGCAGGAAGTGTGTAAAACGATTAGGTGATGCTCGTATAGCTTTCTAGCAAAACTTGCATGAACAAAACGCGTGCAATTTGTGCGATCTCTTTCTTTGGATGACGTTCAAGATGTTCGGAAATAACGTTCGAGTTGTTCAGTGATGCTCGTAAAGGTGTTGATCAACATGTTCGATTCGAATCCTTTTTGATAATTGTGCTGCATATTCCCTCAGTTTGATGGTCTCCTAGGCATTCACTTTTGGATGTATGTAACAGTTGCTGCAGAGAATTGGTATGAGATCAGATTAGTGAGAGAAATCCGGGGATTTTCATGACATGGCTCGGAACTGATTCTTGATGAGCAGAAACAATGGACGTAGGAGAAATTTTTTGACTCCACGTAGCTAGATGTGCCATGATATCGTGGCACCTTCCAAGGCAAGTTGACGATCTTGTATCCTCTCGTATCTCTGACCACAGGAAGGTGTCCATCTATGGCGAACGAGATATACCAAATTGAAAAGTTCGGCTGAATCAGACAATATGGCATTCTACAGATTTATTCTTACAGAATCTATCTTGACTTAACAGAAGAGACTCTATCAGAATTGGATTCGCGACATCGATCTCTTACACTCGACGCTTCATGCCCAATTCTTCTACATTTGCTCACCGTCAAAAACATTACGCTGTGTAACTTGCGGCGCATTGTACATAAAATTTTACAGCAGTTTTCATCATCACTTTCCACGGCAAGCGAGAAGTCCACGTGCCACAATCGACCACAGAAGGAATGGCAACAGAAATTAGCATCAATTGGTATGTCTCAAAGTAGGTGAATGCTTCTCCGACGTACTCAATTCATGTGCATAAAAATGCATCCCTTGTTAAATCAATTATTGAGCTGTTGATAGGTAACGTTGAGAGTTCAAAAGCATATCCTAGATATTACAATGAGTCCTGTAGAGACAGTCGCAAGTCCTGGTCTGGACTGGGCTGCAAGTCTGGTCTGGGCATCATCTGAATATCATGAATCCTAAATATAAATTTCTTCACACAAACAGCTTCAAACCAGGCAAATTCTACTCCAACACGGTAGATGCGAATCCACTACTGCATTTAATGCATTGCAGCAATCTCATCACAGTCGAATTGAACATTTTTATAGACCTACCACTTGTTCAGATTATACCTGTGTCAATCGCGTGGGGGAAAATGGCTACAATTACATGACTAGAACAAGCGAAAGTCGGTGTATGTCGTTCTGTAAAGCCGTGGGTGCCACCGATAACAACAGACCCATAGTTTCTGTTCGACCAGAGCGCTCGCCTGATATTCATAATTTCAGCAAACTGGCAGCGTGTTGAGCGCATAGCTACATTTCTTTCTCCATTAGCTAACGAACACCGTTTGCTGGAATCAGAAGCTGCTAATCTGACTGTTTAGAAAGTTCCTTCATGCCGGTGCCACTATTTTTATCAAGCCAGGATCCGATGGCGACTTCGGATCGGCTGATCAAAATTGAAAGTCAGCACTGAACCGAGCAGTCCGGATTTGTTATCGGTACAATGGCACATGATAATTGGAATGCGGCAACCTATGGGCAGTATGTTATCGATGGACACACCTGATGCCACATCGCTCTTTTGGTTCTTTTAACAGCTCAGAAGTAGAGACTCTGAGATTTCTTTTCCAGCATCCAGCCACGCACATTTTGTCAATATCATGCATCCCATATGCGGACAGGCTTGTGTGAGAATTGAAATTACATGCTACACATATGCCTAGGATGCCGCGAGCTTACATCTCTAGTTGCAAGTACAGATTTGAGCAATTAAAAGCTAAGAGTCGCATGTCATTTCCAGACCAGGACCAGGTCAGTAGTAACAGTCAAAATTGACTATAGGGACAGAGTCGTGTCATCAGTCGAGATGACACGAAATTATGAATGGAGCGTCGAATCCAATGTTTTCGGTCAAACAAATCTTGGAGCGAGATTTAACCAGCCCTTCCTTTTCAAATATTTCATTTGAAGTTCGTCACTTTATCCAGCTTATCAATGGACTAGGTTTGGCCTGAAATGACGGGCAGAATGTTCAGACAACTTGAAATAGCAACAATTAGGAAGTTTGCAGCAGACACCTCTATGTTCTTGCCGGAGACCTTAACTTCTTCGGAACAGAAAAGACGACAACCTTTCGGATATCTCAAACAACCTTTCCCAACAAGCGTCCTCTGTCTCCAGAGGAATGCTCACCGTCTGGCTCTATAGAACTCTACCCTCGTAAATTCGTGCCAGCGCTGAAAAAGCTTGACACCCCTGCTCTATCCAGTCAACGTCATCAGTCAAAATGCTATCCGTATCGGTGATTTTTAATTAACCTCACTTCCGTTTAGCTTGAGATTTGAGAATTGTAGACTCCAATCTTTTGTGAAAAGGTGTGTTATATACTTGAAAGTAGGCGACAATAATTATGCTTGGTAATTAGGTATTTTATTCAAGTCGTAGCCATTGTCCTAAAGAGATAATTATCTAGTTTTCTAAGTCGATTACTAACCAATGCTTTTAATAGATTGCAAGCTCATTGGGTGATAATTCTTTGATGATATGTTGATAGAGATCCCGAATACACCGGCACGTTCTTATTCACTGTCAAGTTGTATGTATCCAGCACGTGTCGAAGATATTGGAAGAGGCTGTTTAAGATTTTCATCCACCTCAGAAGCGAAAGGTCTGTCAGGCCTATCCATATCCAATATGAGCAGAGTATTGAGTGGGGATGCACAAGACATATCCCACATGAATGGCGCAGATGTCCAAAAGTCGGAATAGACAACTGTTTGTTCAGTTCCGGCAGTGGCAGTAGAGGAAACTTGTCTATGAGCAATGTGCCTTTTGTTCGATAATAAAACTCACTTACGGGTTTCTTCTTCATTCTTCTCTTTCGAGCGACTCGGACGTATTCAACACGTTTCCACGATACTATGAAAGTGATTGTAGACAATCGATGTGGCAGAACCGTCTCTTCATCGCGCAAAAATAATATTGTACAGAAAGAGAAAAAATAATATTGGTTGAGAAAACAGATGTTTCGACTTTCGGATATTATCAATCATAACCAAAATAAGCGATTATACAGTCTGAAGTAAAGAGAAAAATTCGAACTCAGTATTGATAAGAGTAACTAGTAACGACTTTTCAAGTAGTTAAAGAAAGGAGACTCGAACATTCCAACTGGCGAACGAGTTCGAACTTGCAGGCGAGCACATGTCACTTCAGTAGAAACCCTAGTACTGCCAACATGGAATATGAAAGCTGGAATGAAAATTCAAATCCACCTCTACACAATGCTGTTCGATTTCATCTAAAAAGCAGCAATAACTCCGATTTGAGCATTGAAACAAAGAAAGAAGTATGTGAATATATTTATGGAGTCAGGGATATATTTGCATTTGAAAAATCATGCCATCTGAACGAAAATAATCAGCAACATCATACACACAAAAGAGACAATAACTCGTCGGATTAAATGTCACAAATTTCTGGATCTTTATCTCATATACATATAACATAGACGTAGAAGTCAATGCCTCTGAGCGGCCAAGGATTGGATGATCGAGGCTGAGCACAAAGAATAGCAGCCACAATTTTGACAGGATCTAAGATATGCATCAAGGTGTTATGGCTTCTCCAAAAAGTAACTATATGTGTCGTTCTGTAAGGAAACACTACGACGAACACATGTAGCCGTTGCGTCCCGAGATAACGATGTCACAGAATAGAGACAAACCAAGGAGCCGCTGTCGGTTTCTAAAAGCAGGCAAATCAAGATATAACATACAAACAACACCCGACGCTGTCATCGAGTACAAATACAGATTCTCAATTCTTCAGAGTATCGCGTTCACGGACTCAGGCACCACTCGAGTTCACTCGTAAATCATTCTCATTCGTTAGGCTATTGATAGATACCATCTAATCAGCCGTGGCAAGTTTGAAGGTTGCGTTGCAACTTGCATTTCGCGGCTACATCTGCAAAGACTTCAGTTCCGGAAGGAGCCAACTGGCAGTAGCACTGAACGTGTCCTAACATAGCATTGTGCAGCATTTTCAGTACTTCACAACACTTGGCCTTGGCGCTGCTGTTCGCGAAGCTGGAGCTGATGTAGTCATCGCAGGGTTTCCTTATCTTGGAAAAATGAAAGTTCTTCCTCTCGCACTGATCGACCTTGTACAGCTCCGCTGAAACCGGCTTGGTCCAAGTGAGGCAGAGTCCCAGCACGAGCATCACCACAAGCATTCGAGAATCCATGTTGTCCTCGTACCAAATAGACCACTATCTCTGCATCTACCTTCTAGAACTGTTTCCGACCTGCTGTTATGAAAACAGCTGGACTAACTTCCTCAGAACTTCACTTGCATGCTCGCTGCAGAAGGGAGAAACACTCATGGACTGGCAGACAGTATTGATTCCTACCCGATCAGACGCTAAATATCTCTTACTCGCACAATGCTAACACACCTGAGCTGATTCAATCAGTCACGTCGCACGAGGATGAGCTCACTTTCCTCTATGTCAGAATTTACCCAATTATTCCTGTCAGTGCGGGCCCGATATATGAGTGGAACTCGTACGTGCCGCACTGCAGCGGCAGGTTCCGATGTTAGATTTGTAGGTGCGCGCCGTTGATCGTCCCTTTTACGAGGTCCCAACTTTGTCGTCATCTCTGTACCGTTCCCACTTTATCACCGAGCACAACATGTTCTCATGGGTGACTATCCGAAATGCTGAGCGTACAGACACTTTTTCTCCAGCGTCCCGTGGATGACACCTGTGAAAATCATTGTGACAACGGATTGTGAATTGTGCAACAAAAAGTTTTGAGGTTCGTTATAACCATGTTTATACAAAGTAGAGTTTAATGTAACGAGATTTTGTACAGAAAAGTATAGCAATGAAAGCATGATTAACCTGAATTAGGTAAATCGGAGTATATTAGCGAAAATATGGAAAGACCCACCAAAAGTGAAACAAAAGCAGTAGGAAGCGGATAGCTCTAGTAGTATCACAAATGGACAATATCTACTACTGTACTTGATAAATCCCAACAACCAAGTTCAAACATTCTGCGTAAATCACCTAAAGTAATTTATCTTTTAAAGATATGCATATGCAAAGGCTCTCTGCAATGTTTACTCTATGTATGAAATCTTCTACAGAATATAATATGGAAAATGTTACCTCGTGTTGCATACTCTGATAAACTCTCGGTTACTTTCTATTAAAATTTCCGTATGTGTAATTTAATTCGAAGATGAGAAGAACATATATATAATCTCTTTGTAAATTCCTTATATGTAGATATTCTGGTGATGCATATCCATAATCGTAAAATATACTTAGATGAGTAGGTTTTACCTGGTGAGCAACAAATACTGGAATTTGCTAAGTGATAATGTACAATCAGTTGCAACTATAGCCTATCAAGGTTGAGTACTTTCTAACGAACTCCTACACCTTGCCTAACTTAACCTGAAGATCAGATCATAGTATAAGACGTATATTAAGGAAAAAACATAGAAGCAAACGCAATCAGAAATTGAAGCAAAAGTTGTGCTTACAATTAATTTTAGCTAATGCACATTATTAGTATGTAAAGACACGTTCAATTGCATTGTATTTTTCTAACATCCTCGCTTTACTTTCTCAAAGAGAAACTTGTAAATGATTAAAGTAGAATGCACTCCAAGATTCAATTCTAAGTGCCTTTAAGATTTAGGTTTTGAAATTGTAGCATCAGACGGGTTTAAGTAGACACTGTATTGTAATATCACTTGTACGATATTCGGCATATTTTCGTTATATATTATTTATTACAATATATCGATCAATTTATTATTATTATTATTATGATCATTCCAGTAATTTAATTTTTTACTGAATTAAATAAATCAAGACGCAATATTATGCTACAGAGTATATGATCATGTTAATATCATACGTGGTAAAGATGGTGACTTTATTCAAGCACTAAAATGGAACTAAATAGATCACCTTTACTTAGATGGATTCAGTCTGTATGTAGTAAGAGATTCTTTGAATTTTCAGTTCCTTCCATCAGATATACTTTAAGTCGAAATCATATCAATGTATATAAAAAAATGTATGATGTATATTAAAAAAAAACATATTAAAGATTGTAAAATACAGTTCCAATTACATAGTAGATTTGATGATGAGATTGCAGAAGCTTCGTGGAGAGAAACAGTCGAATTTTGTCCAAATTCGGAGAATCTTAGACTAGTTCTTTCGATGAAACCTCATGAATGAACGCCTTTGCCTTTGCCTCCCCACCCATTCCGTCCATCACTTTCAGATTCCTACAGTTGGATTTAATCTCACAATCAGATATTAAGACCGATTTGGAAGAATGCAGGTCACATGGCATTCATTTATAGGTATGCTTGCTAAATGTAAGACGAAGTAGAGGGCAAGCAATAATCAGGGGATGAATACAATAGTTCTACCTCGTCTTTGACTACATTGTCTAGCACCAAGACTCGTTAACTTGCAACTTAAAAGATGCTAGAAACTGCATTTTTTCGAGGTAAGACACGTTGGAAGAGTAGGAGATGTCGTCAAGCATAATATTCATCATGACTGGCTGACCTCAAACTTTTCTCGCCATACCGTGTTCGGGTGCCGGGAGCAACAAACGGCCATTAAAAAGCTGTAGATCATCTCCTTCTGTACAGTTCTCATGATGCTCAGCCCTCGTTCTTCATTCCATCTGTAAAATGGGAGTTATGTGCAATATGGTTATGTTCTCAGTAAAGAGCCATTCTTCCATGCAGCAAGTTTGCGCTGCTCTGTAAAGACTTGAAAGCAACTGTAGCAAAAGGGATCATCTAACCAGCAAAGGTGTGTCAATCTCCATCTGTGTCCATCGGCATAGAGTCACACATGCTTGTTGGAGTGGATACATGTCTGCATTTTGAGCGATCTCTGTGGGACCCATTAATCATGCGAACTACTTTGATTTGGCCATTGCGTTCTCGACAAAAATTGCTTATTCGAAGGTGCTGGAGCATTCCGAGTTTAAATTACGGAAATTTTGGCGATCCCTGATGATGGGACCTTAGCCGAGCTTACAACAAAGCAATGCAGACGAAGCGTTTGAAAGCCCACTGAGTTATTGAGGTCCGCAATTTTTTATGTGATCGCCTACGAAATTCCACTGCCATTGCTTTTGAAGTATGTTTAGATGGACATGAGGATTTCTTGAGACATAGAATGTCGATGTTCACTTCCCTCTTGATTCCAATAAAGTTATATGATCCCGGTTCATGAAACTGGAATAGGCATGTCGAGGATTATGCAACTTCATGTGCTAAATCTTTCGCATAGATATAAATCAGCCCTCAGAGGTTGGAGCAGGATTTGCAAAGTAAGTGCTATAACGTATATGGCCGGACAATACCAGAAACACGATTTTGGTGGACAAAATACAGACAAGAAGGATATTCTGGTACTTGTAGACATAGTCAAGGAATATCTTTGTTTCTAGTTGAATATGCCTGGCAATTCCAAGGCGCTCAAAGATACCAAAGGTGCTGAACTAGATCGGTGGGATACTGGGCCGGCACTGCACCAACAGAACTACTGTTTGCTTCTGGAATCTGCTGTTGTTACAAAAAGGGTTTTAACAGAAGAGCAGCATAGAAGGTTACAGTGTTGGTACTCAAACGATCATTAAGAGCATCGGAGTGAAGTGAGGCACCTGCTTCGCAGCATCGTCGGAGAACTGATATAAAACATGCGTAACGTTCACATCTCTAGTGTCCACGTATGCACAAGCAGTAGACGCAGGGTAGCATACAGGACCGCCTCCCTCGTCCTGCTGCAGTTTAAAATGTGGTCCCAGTTGACAACATCGGGATCGAACGGAATGTCCAGATCCAGCTGATTTGTATCGTCTCTGACTAGTGTAAGGACGAGCTCGAACCCACAAAGTACTTCTGTAATAACCCACCAAAGGCTAAAACTGCAGTATGGTGGTAAAAAGATCGAACCCACAGGGACAGAGGCAACACATAGAGTAAAAAGTGTCACGTTTAACAGACTTTTGTAGAGTTTGAATTCTCAGGCGACTGTCACTCCCAGAAATACTGCAGTGCTCGACTCGGAGGCTCGACTCGGAGGAGGATCTCGACTCGGAGGATGCTCGGAGGATGCACAGTACAGCGTAGTCACTCAACACACACACACACACACACACACCTGAAACTGGCAAAAGCACAACTCGGAGGTCGGTCAGGACCTCCGCTTCGGATTTCAGGGGGAAAGTGTCTCAAAAGTTCACTCAGAGGTTTTGCAGGTAGTGATTCCCACTCCGGCTTTTACTGCCCTTCCGCCAGGAACTAGCGTAGGGTACCCGGACTGGACTTCCCACTTCGGAACGAAGCCTCTTCATACGCCGTGGACGTCACCCTCGACTCACACCAAACGCAGGGAGTGCAGGCCCGACTGAGAACTTAACTGAGACACAATCCAGTAACACACACACACAACCTGAATTGCAAACCAAGGCTTACACGAAGTAATAAAACTTCACTTTGGCATTCAGGGGAAACTTCCCGTAGGAGTACAATCAGGATATGTCACTCGAAGGAGTAAGGGGGAACTGTTCAAGTCTCTAACTCGCAGCCGGCTCTGAGCATCAGAAATCACCCGCAGGTGCAGATCCGCACTACTCAAGTCTCTAACCGGGTACTAGCTCTGAACATTCAGCCGAAGGCCTTCAACTACAACATACGGTAGCTTCGCTATGCTGCAGCTTCTCTACGTGGTGCCAGGACCAAAATGCACAAACACGCCAAGAAAGTGAGTTCCTGATCTGCACTTCCGAAACTGGAAGAGTCCCAGGGCAAAACGCCTTGAACTACTTTATACCCTCAAAGGTCCTTACTAACACTACGCTATCCTATCTACTACTCGCAACACTCTCCAAGGTCTGTCAATATCCTTGCGCAACTCGCCTCCGCACTCTCTCCTCTCACTGCAGGTCTCTCCGCCCTTGCGCGTAATCTTGGAAGCTGGAAATCGCAAAATCAAGAATGAGAGAATGAGACTGGAGGGCAGTCTTTTCTTCTCCGAATTCAAGATCGTCCAACGTTCTTACTGGTTACAATTTACGCAGCTAGCTATACGGCCTAACGGTTCGCCCTTGCATGCTCGAATTCACGTCTCCGCACTGCGCGCATTCGCATGCGTGAATGTTGAATTCTCCCGCCGCCACCGTCTTCCGGACTCGAGTTTGCCGCAGTGTATACGTCGGCTATGTTGTCTTTTCCTAACCCGACCATCACCGGAGGCGTGTCGCCGCTGGCGTGTTCCTTATCCGTCGGCGCCTTGCTGGAGGCGCACATCCAGTCGGCGCGAATTACGCCGGCGCGTATTCGTACCGCTTGTTTTGTCCGTT